GACATTGCCAAACATCCCCGGGTAGGACTGGGGGGATTCCTCACAGGTGGGGAGGTGTGCCCATGCCTCAGAACCACAGTTTTAAAGTATCTCTAAAAATATTCTGGCTTGGCTAGCATGGTTCAGTGGTTGAGCCTTGACCTATGAACCAGGAGGTCACGGTTTGATTCCCGGTCAGGGCACATGCCTGGGTTGCTGGCTTCATCCTCAGTGGGGGATGCAGGAGGCAGCCAATCAATGATTCTCTCTCATCACTGATGTTTCTCTCTCTCCCTCTCCTTACCTCTTTGAAATCAATAAAAATATTTTAAAAAATATATATTTTAAAAATAAATAAAAATATTCTGTTACTAATGAATATTGGCTCTTCAGCTCTACTACCCATAGTACCCACAGACTTCTCACGTGTGCTTTCTGCCTCAAATTTAATGCCATTTTTAGATTCCCTGATCTCACCTATCCCTTTGTCTCCATTTCTTCAAAACCCAACTCAGTTCAAATTAGACCTTCCCAAATTAGACCTATCTGACCCCTTTCCATTATTCTGAATTTTGCATTATTTTGTAGCCCTCTGAACATCGTGCTTAACGGGATCTATTTTTTCATGTAGAAGTAGATGCCAGTACAGTCATTAGACATGGGTCTATTTTCCTCTTCTTCCTGAACTGTCTGAGCTGGGTGCTTTTCTTTGTGTCTTTTGTGTTATGCATATCCAAGGCATTCATTTACTCGGCATACATCACAGTGAGCCCTGGCTGAGGATTTGTGGCCTCTAAGATCTGTCCCTTAAGCAGCTTCCATTTTGGTGGGGTGTTGAGACAGATTAGCAAATATATGTAGTACAACACATGGTAGAGGTGGTATGTAGACCAGCGCCTTAGAGGATGGGGAGGATTTCCTTGGGCAAAGTCTTAGGCAGAAGGGATGAAAGGTCTCTTTCCATAAACAAATATTTCCCTCCAGCTTTGAAGAAAGGCCTTCAGGAGCCTCATTTCCCTGCCTTCTCTTTTGGCCCCTAGCGTCACCCACCAGCATCAATCTTCTCTTGAAGGCACTTGCTATTCCTACAGGAGGGAGTAACATGGAAACTCCTATGGTCTTTGTATTACATGCTACTTGGTTCCACCATCAGGCTCATTTCTGGGGAAGCAGACGTGTAAATGTCTGTGTATATGCACACATGCATGTTGGATTAAAGGGAACCACATTTTGGCCTTACTCCTGTTAGAAAGAGTTTTATTGTTGTATAATCCCAGCACCCCAGAATCCAGGGCTGCTGTACACGGGTGTGCAGATTGTGTGCTTCGCAGGCATATCTGGCAGCCACGATGGTCTCTGGCAGGCTCTCTTGTCACAGGTAACAAGGTGAGAGAGAGCTCGAGTGGGTAGATTACTCCCTGTCACCACTAAAGAGGGTGGGCTGAGACTGTCTTAAACACCGGGTTCCACATCTTATACTTGGGGAAGATAGTTACCACTCTCAAGCAGTCAATGACTCTAGGAATATGATGGGCTGATAAAGAGTTAGAAAGCACCCTAGTCAGAACTGTTTATTTCTAATCACTTTAAATATATTTTTATTGATTTCAGAGAGGAAAGGGTGGAGGGAGAGAGGTGGAAACATCAATGATGAGAGAGAATAATTGATTGGCTGCCTCCCGCATACCCCTGGGGATCAAGCCCACAACCCGGGCATGTGCTCTGACTGGGAATTGAATCCTGACCTCCTTGTTCATAGGTTGATGCCCAACCACTGAGCCATGCCAACCAGGCTATTTCTAATAACTTTAAACTGCCATGCCAGATACCACAGGGCTGCAATGTGCCGTGTTTATTTATAAATCAGCCTCCCTGCATATTGTCGACAGGGTCCTCGGTTGACTAATGTTTATTCATTCACTTGTGGAGGAAAACTTGGGCTACGAATGTGAACACGAATGCTTTTTTTAATAGATGGTGTTATTGGGCTGCACAGTGTCCCTGACTTTCAGATATTTAACTCGTAAAGTTTACAGCAACACTTAACTGCGTCTGGATTCCACATTGAATTTGGGAAGGCAAGGATCTCACTGTAATTTGCACTGACTGCCCTGTAATGGAAATTATGGCTTGGGAAAAGTTTCAAATGACGTGTCTATAAACTAAGGAAAAGTTGATCCATTTAAAGGCTGGTTATGTGCAATTGTGGGATTTTTTTTTTTTTTTGAAAGGGCCATTGCCAACAAGAAATACGTATTTCAGCAGCTGAAGTAAACTAGCCATGAATTAAAAGTTGGTCTTTGTAAATTGTTGGTTCATCAGATTCAGCCCTGAACATGGAGTGAGTTTAGCAGAACTGTGCTGGGCTCTTAAGAGAGCTGTAAAGGTTGTGTGAGTCCAGTGTTCCAATTGGACAGTGGCAATGAGCTGGCCTGAGAGGACAAGCAGCCTTCTTATTGGTCAGAACGCTGGCCCAGTGGGACTCAGGACACAGGGCTTTCTGGTCCTAGCCCCGCAGTTAAGTGGGTTTGTGTCAGTAGGTCTGTCACGTACCCTTCCCAGCATCAATTTGTCTATTTCTGGGCTGCTGTCCCCCTACTCCCCTCCTCACCATTTGTTTGTTTTAGTGTCTCCCGTTCATGTTCATGACTTTCCCTCAAATGTCTAATGATCATTCCTTGACTGTTCTTGGCTCGTATTTAAGACCAAGGCAATAAAAAGCTGATGAGAGGCTCTGGGTGGAGGCGCGGATGGAGCCTGCTGACCGGGGGCTTAACTGTAGGGAGATCATTTAATTAGGGGAGAGCCAGATGTCCACATCTGGAACTCTCTTCTCCGAGCCCCACTTAACTTAATCAGCAAGGAATCTCCCTGTCAGGTTGCCAATGTCCCTGGGAAATGCGGAGTAGGCGTATTTCCACTTCCATCCGTTTTCAGCACTGTACAGGCAGGCCGGGAGATATCGTGGTTCGCTTCCACCCACCGCAATAAAGTGAGCGCTAACCTTTTTGCTAGTGGAAGGCCTTGCCTTCAGTTTGTAAAAACACACTTCTGTGAAGAGCAATAAAGCGAGGTATGCCTGTACTCTCCCAGTCTACCTCACCTATGCTTCTCCCCCTGGTTCAGTGTCTCTGGATAATCAACCTTTTCAACAACCCTTCTGTTTGCAGCCCTGATCCTTCCCTTCCTTGCCTGTCGCCGTACATGGCACCTTCAAGTCCACTGCCTCTCTGAGGCTTTGGCAGCGGGTTCCCCTCTGTTATCATGGGTCTCCCCTGCTTCAGGCACTGGAGATTGTAGCTTCCTCTACTCTCTAGGGAAGCGGTTCTCAACCTGTGGGTCGCGACCCCTTCGGGGGTCGAACAACCCTTTTTACAGGGGTCACCTAAGACCATTGGAAAACACGTATATAATTACATATTGTTTTGTGATTAATCACTATGCTTTAATTATGTTCAATTTGTAACAATGAAATTGGGGTCACCACAACATAAGGAACTGTATTAAAGGGTCGCGGCATTAGGAAGGTTGAGAACCACTGCTCTAGGGGGATCCATCATTCAAGGCACTGGTCGGAATCACTTATGTGCTGATGTCTCCCCTTCCTTCTATCCCTGGGAGTTTATTTCGTTACTTTAGCAGGACCTTGGATGGTGAAGGAAACAAATGCCCTTGACCCATCTGCCACGTTTGACTCAAGTCTTCCATTTTCTCATCCTAAAATTAATTTGCAAATCCAGTCAGTAATTATATGCATCTCCTGATGCTGGCCCTGAGCTCAGTGCTGGAGAGAGGAAGGCCCAGACAGTTCCTCACCTCTGAGAAGCAGGGAAAAGAAATGATGTGCGGGGACAAAGCCTGTACAGTGGCATATGTACAGGGATAGTGCCAGCTTGAAGTGGTGCAGAGACAGGAGGGGGGATGTGACAAGCTCGGCCGGGACGTTGGGGAAGGCCATGCTGAGTAAACGAAAACTCTGTGGCTTCGTGAATCCCACTGTTGGGGGAAGGCTGTGACCAGACCGCGCCCGTTAATTATTACCGAGTGAGTCCAAGGAAAAGTGGTGTATCCAGCCCAGATCTTCAAAATCACTCTGCTGGCTGGGTGGGCCTTTGCCTCTCCAGGGTCTCCAGCTGTAAATGGCCCGCTGCTCCCCACCCACGGCCTCCCAGGCTTCCCACGGTTGCCATGCACACTTAGAAAAGAGTCTGGCCTTGGGAAGATCAGAAATTGCAGAGGGCCTTCCCAGGGTGCGTGACATCGCTTCTGCCCCTCACTGCTGCCTCCCAGCCTGCGAATAGCTTACTGCTGACAGAGACCTTGTCAATGTTGTTGAGAGGTACTACTGCTCTTTTTTTTAATTTTATTAATATTGATTTCAGGGAGAGGAAGGGAGAGGGTGGGATAGAAACATCAATGATGAGAGAGAATCATTGATTGGCTGCCTCCTGCACACCCAACATCAGGGAGCCAGCCTGCAATCCAGGCAAGTGCCCTGACCAGGAATCGAACAGTGACCTCCTGGCTCGTGGGTCATGCTCAACCACTGAGCCATACCAGCGGGGCTCGACTTTCTTATTATAAGGAATTTCACGGATTTGAAATTCCAGCAATGTAGACCAGCTATAGCAGTGGTTCTCAACCTTGGCTGCACATTAGAATCACCTGGGAATCTTTTTTAAATTCTGGTTTCTGGGCCTCATCCTCCGGAAATTCTGTTTCTTTGTTACTATTGTAACAAAGACCAGGGGGGAACGATAGACGAGGCTTAGCCCTGCAGTAAGGAGTCTCGTTGAGAGGACACTGTGTTTCAGAAACTTTGAAGCAAGCCCATAGGTTTTTATCGCTTGGGTGTTTTCAAATCCATTTTAGTATTTGAATTCTCTTAGCCCTCGGTGAACTTGAACTCTGAGTGTGCAAGAGGTGGTGTGAGGCAGAAAACAGTAACCTCTCAGTGTGTTTTTTGGCTATTCCCCGCCCTGCTGAAAAGGTTGGTTTCTCTTCCTTCTCTTTTCAGTATAGGAAAGTGGCAGAGCCAGTGAGTGGCTGAAGATGGCAGCCACTTACAGAAACGCTTGCATCCTTGCCAGTTGCCAGCCTAAGGAGCATCACGTGGCCATGGAAATCCAAGTGTTTCTATCCCACAGCCCATCTATGGGAGGCGGATTATATCTCTAGGCAATAGCAGCCAATGTTCCAGTTTCATATTTTTATTGGCATCGTAAACAAACAAGCGGGAGACTATCTGGGAGGTTGCGTGCGGCAGCCAGCGCAATTCATATCGCATTTCTTTTTGTAGCAACTTAAAGTGAAGGAGTGCTCAGTGGTGTGGCACATGGCATATGGATGTCCTTACTGATTTGGTCATATCCAGTGAGTCGTGCTATTCTCAGTTCATGCTGGTAACGTGCGTCATTCAGTCCATAAAGTGGTGAGTCAGGGTTATCTCGAACCAGTCAGCCAGGAAGCGTGTGAGGCTCCCAGCTGGGCACCAAGGATCTCCTTTCGTTTTAAGAACTCGAAGCATTAATGGATGTTCGAAAGGTTGCCCAAGGAAGCATCGGATGTGGACATGATATTTTAGGCCTGATGGGCGTCTCTCTGGAAGTTCTGCTTTACTGTCAGGTACCAGGGTCTGCATCCTAGACAAAGAGGAGAATCCTGCCTGAGGTGCTTCCAGGCAGCCTTTTTGTCATGGAGAGGGTGGCATTTAGAAGCTTCTGGAAGTCCATTTCACCATTCATAATTTCAGGGCATGTGAGCCTAAGTCCAGGTAATGGAAGGTGGTAAAACAAAGTAAGATAACATTTCAAAACCTTGCTTTGCAAATAGAAGGCAAACATTCTTGATTCTTTGGGAAGCAATATTACAAGTTTGTGTGAATGTCAATGGCCAACAGCGTTTTGTTTGGACATAAGATACTTTCTTCCCCTTTTCCAGAGAGGTACTGAAATGTGAAGAAAAGAATAATACAGCCCGGTTCAGTGGTTGAACATCGACCCATGAATCAAGAAGTCACTCGTTCAATTCCTGGTTATGGCAAATGTCCAGGTTGCTGGCTTAATCCCCAGTAGGGGACATGTAGGAGGCAGTGATGGATGTTTCTGTCTCTCTGTCCCCTCCCTTTCTCTCTAAAAAAAAGTAATAAAAACATATTTTAAAAAGAGAGTAATACAAATTGTGTGTGTACATCTGCACATACAAACTAATAAAAGAAAAAGTAAAGGTAGCTTATGAAGGTAATATTGAAAATATTTCAAAAATTATATAATTTGGAAGCAAAGGAAAGCTTTAAAAGATGGTTTGTGCAAATACTGTTATACTGGGCATCAGTTACAAAAATAAAGGCAAAAGTGGAGGACATAAAAATGTCAATTGGC